GGTGCCAATTGCCATTCAGCCGCATTAAGGTACAGTGACTTACTTCTTTTACAAAGGGAGCTCTCAGGATTCATTTGTCGGTGTGCAGGTGTTCGGTGAGTGTGGGAGGCAATGGAGGCAGGTCTTTTCGCTACAGCAGCTTTGTCAAACACAGTCTCCATGCTATGCCAGGCCTTTTCAGTCAGCAGACGTTTAAACAAAAATACCCAGCAGCATAATCCATACTGTGAAGCTGCCGTAGTAAATAAGCAGGTGGGGATCGGCTTTCGAGAAGGGCCATGCTGTTCATTGTTACTTTGTTGTGCTAAATATGGAGAAGCAGAAATGGGGCACGAGGGAAAGGCAGACAGAGGCAAAGATCGAGTTTGACTGATTTTTCACCGGAGTATAATTTAAGAGGCATATTTAGAAACTCAGCTATACTACTTTGGGGAGAACTTCAACTGCTCCACGCTGCCGTTAACTTGGTATTTCATTCAGCACAACAGCTGTGCACCAGATGCTGCATGTTGCAAGAAATATAATTTTCATCTCAACCACTTGCTTTCAGAGCGACACAGCTTTGACGACTGAGGCAAGTGTAATTTCTTTGACAGCCTCCTAGAAAGAAAAGAAAACCATCTGGTTTGTATCAGAGTTGCTACGGGTGGGGGACTGTTGGGGGTGGCAGGGGAGAAGGAGAGGAAAGGGAACTTCTGGACACACAGGGTTGGTGAAGAGGGAGAAGAGAAACCCCTCAGAAAATGGCGACGTTGCTCGTGCAGGATTGTACTGCCTGGAGTGGTGGCTGGCTTCGGTATAGCAGCAGGGCTTTGTGTGAAATGGCAGCATTGCTTTACCAGAGCTGTGTTTAATGTGAATAAAATCACTGATTAATCTTATGCTTACTTGGAAAGAGTCAGCCAAAAGCCACAGTTTGGTAACCAAACATTTGTGCATCCTGTACCTTATGAAATGCTCAGCTTTCGTCATATTGACGTGGAGGGGTGACAGTTTCTGGCGGCAGGGAGCACGTTGATAGCCTGTACAGTGGGGCTGTGCCTGCGCATTGGGCCCTGAGGCCAATGAGGGCCTGATTTAAACCTCTCCTTCTGTGGAGCGGAGCCCAATTAGGGCATGTCTGCACTGTGCTGGCTTGTGGTGGCGTATAGCCCCGAGCCGGTACATCCACACAGTGCAGCATCACCCCATGGCAGTAACTCATGTCCTAGAAAGTCTCTAAGTGTCACCACAGTACTACATCTAAGGTAACAAGTGCTGTCCTTCAACAAGCCCAGGTAGCAGTAGACAAGATTGCTGCACTAGGCTCCATGTTGGGCGCTGATGTGCTCTGTGTTCCTCTACTTTCCCACCTCAGGATCCAGCACATAGTGACTAAGCAGCCTGTAGCCATACACTGATAGCACGTGCACTCCCAAACCTTTGGAAAAGTGACTGTGTCTGTGGTCATCAGATGTGAAGTCACTTAAAACATGTCTGTGCAAAGGAAGCTGCACAGTGAGTTCACCCATCCCAACGCACCCTCAACCGTCCCAGCTAGCATCTATATTCTGACGGAGTGGAATGGGGAAAACTAGGCAAAATGTGAAGTAAGAACATGACAGCTCCTTAAACTTGGCCACGAAAAGGCTTTTGAGCCTCTGCTTTGTGCATTATTATCCCTTTGTGCAACAGCTAAGTAGATCCACCACCCAAATTCCTCTAGCATGAAGAAAGACACGATCTGCACACACATGAAGGTATGTGTGAGCTGTCACAGTACCTCTACCCCTTCTGTGGCTCTCCCCTTGTAAACTCTAAAGTCAAGGATGTTTCAAAAGGGCCTAAAGGTTCCTAAACACAAGCCTACTGCTGTGGACTGTGCTTCACAGTTGATTTTTGCTGGTCTTCTGTCATCTCACTCCGGTTTTGATTCTACAAATGAGCCTTCATCTTACAGCATGAAAAGTTGTCCCACAGAAATCCGTAAGACGCATGAGGGAGTGTTGACAGGGTTTGCAGGTGTGCTGCTCTGACCCAAAGGAAGAGAATCTTACTGCAAAGAGCTTAGGATAGAAAAAGATCATATGAGTGAGGCGTATTTTTCATGAGGAACCCACGGCCAAATTTTCCAAAGCATTCATCAGGCACAACAAATAGATTTTCAGTAATGTCTATGTTTGGGGCTAAAAATCCAGTCCCAGCCTTTCTGAGAGTTATGGCCAGGCCAGTGTCAAAGGAAACCAGAGGTACGGTGATTATTAGTGCAAGGTAGCTCACAACCATAAAGATTAAATGCTGGAGGTTAAAGTTGTAGGAACTCTGCCATTACTGAACGCTAAGGGTGCTGTAGTTCACGGTATCAGAGGTATTTATGGTACTTCAGCCAGTTGTCATTTTTAGTGCCTGACTGGTCTAAAAACAATCAAAAGAAACACATAAGGCATGAAAAATAGATTCAGCATCTATATACAGCCGTGCACAAGCAGCTAGACACAAACATCTTAACGCACCTCAAATTGACATCTGTTACATCTACTGTAGCATGTCAACATGATCCATGAATAACCCCAGCTATTACTGCAGAACGTGTCTGACACCTGAGATTCCACAGCATAAGGATGATTTACTTGCAAGAGGATTCAGTGGGCTTTTC